ACTTTTATAATTAATAAATCATCTGTGGGAGGTACTTTGAAACAGAAAAAGGTCTAGTTGACTAATTTGGCTGAATTTTATATGTAGATTGTGCTATTCAAATTTTATTTTCATCAGCTAGTAATTCAACAGGTATACATCAGAAAATATGAGAGTAATTTATGCATTACATTTTCCTTTCTTTTTAAGAAAACCTGCATCTTATTGTCCATAACTTCAAGCTTAGGGAGATTAGTTATACACATAATTACATCATTTCTAAAATAAGAGTAACCACCCTGGCTGAGTAGCTCAGTTGGTCAGAGTGTCATCCCTATTCAACAAAGTTGTGGGTTCAATCACTGCCAGGGTACATATAAGAATCAACCGATATTTCTCTCTCTCTCATCTACCTCTCTGTCTCTATCCCACTCCTTCCCTCCCTCCCTTACTCTCTCTCTAAAAACCAATAAATAAATTTAAAAAGTAAAAATAAGCATCACCTCTGTGTGTGTGTGCTCCAGAACATTCTCACTGACACTAATTTTTTGAGTGATCACATGGATAACTTCCTCTGTCTACCAACCTAAGACTGTCAGGCCCACTTCAGCCTCTTTGCCACTCCCTAGACTGGACAGCTAATAGACCTTAAACCCACATTCACCTACCTTAGTTCTTGAGCTAATTATGACCTTCCCAAGGGTATATCAGCATCTTCAATCCCTCCATCTAATGTTGACAACTAGGTCACTTGCTAACTCATTTTCTGATCACATAGGAAATGGGGGGTTCTTTGAATAACTGTATATCTCATCTGTTCACCCATTTCATGTTAAGTTGAAATGTGGTCCACCTTTGCTTATCTGGACCCCCCTTATGTAAAGCTATAAAAAAGACAATTTTAACAAATACATGAAGAAAAGACAAGTCTCCCATGGAAAATAATTCCTTAAGTATTGGCTACACACAGTGATTTTTTTCCAAAGCATACAGTATAGAAAGGGGAGTAAAGAGGAAGTTTACAGTGAAGAAATGTGACAAAACATTATCTCAGCCAGGTAATCAAGGTCAACAGCAACAGTGATAGGTCATATTGATAGTATGTGCCTTTGATATAATGTAGGAACATTGAACTTCTTTGGTCTTTCTCTCAAAAACCCATAACCCTAGTCTAATTATGAGTAAAACATCTGACAAATCCCAGTAAAGGAACATTCTGCAAAATGGCTGACAAGTACTCAAAACTGCCCAGGACATCAAAATCAAGACAAGTCTGAAAAATTCTCACATTCGGTAGGACTAAATGCAATGTGGTGTCCTGGATGGGGTCCTGGAACAGAAAAAGGACATTAAATAAAAATTAAGGAAATCTGAATAAAATATGGATTTTAGCTAATAATAATGTATCAATATTGGTTCATTTATTATAACAGATAACCACAGTGTAATGTTTAATAGGGGCAAGTAGATATATGAAAACTGTTATCTTCGATATTTCTATAAATATCGAGTTTAAAAAGAGTTTATTTTACAAAGAACAGTATGAGAAAAACTAGTTTTTTGAGCCTTTGCTTTGTGTCAGACATTGTGCTATAAAGCTTGATTTATGTTAGTTCACTGAAGACTAAGGATGACCTTATGAAAGGAGTAGTTACCCTCATTTTATAGGTGACGAAATTGAAACATAGGTTAAATGGATTTCCTAAGGCCAAAATCTAGGAAATTTGGGATGGAGGAATTCCAATTCAAACTGTCTAACTCTAGACCCCATGCTCCTTTTTGTCATTTTTATATAACTTGTTAACAGACATCGAGCAAAAGAAGAATGTTTAATAGTTTTCCAGAACTAGTGGTCATCAGACAAATAAGCCTTTGAGGAAGAAGAAAGAGGGAATTTGTGCTTACCAACAGACAAAATAAATGCACATCTAAACTAGACTGAACAATTTAGATCTGAAATAAAAGCAGAAGAATTTAAGGAATCCTAAATCTCATTGAAGAAAAAGAAATGCTTATATCCAGAACTTTGACTCTTGAAACTTATCCAGACAGGATGAAATTGGTCAAGCGTTTGAAATGTGTTGAATAATAACATATACTTTTTAACACATAGGCTATCTTTAAGATATAATAACTGTCCAAAAATTATAAGAACTGTGGAGGGAAAATTTATAACACCTGAACATCACTGCCCATTTACTCCATCACCCTAGTTTTTCTTGAGGACTAGATATTTCTCTGAACCCAAACTATAGCCCACTGAGTTAGTGCCCTATTAGGAAGCTTAATTACATTACTCCCTTTTTCTGGAGTCTAGGGGTTGGGCAGCAGAGAGCAATGGATTTCATGACCAATACTCCCAGTACCATTCAATTAAGTTTCCACATATGTCTACCTAAGTACTATCTACACCAAGCAGTACCTCAATTGTGATACCTTCCTTTATCTCTAGGATGTTGGGCCTACCTAGGCTCTCAGTGACTTTAACACTCAGTAATGTTATCTTTAAAATTAGACCATGGCCTGGCTTTTGTGGCTCTGTTGTTGAGTGTCAACCTATGAACAGGAGGTCATGGTTCGATTCCTAAGTTGTGGGCTCAGTCACCAGTGGGAGTGTGCAGAAGTCAGCTAATCAGTGATTCTCTCTCATCATTGATGTTTCTGTCTCTCCTATCCCTTCCTCTCTGAAATCAATACAAATATATTTTAAAATTAAAAATAAAATAAAATGAGACCATGAATATATATATATATATATATATATATATATATATATATATATATATATATATACCAGAAGCCCGTTGCACGAAGATTCGCACAATAGGCCTTCCTTCCCCTGGCTGCCAGCACCAGTTTTTCCCCAGCACCCGGGACCCAGGCCTTTGGCCCAGACGCAGCGAGGCTTGGCTTCTCCCCTGAGGCTGCAGCGGAGAAGCCAAGCATCTTCAGTCTTCATTGGTTTTCAGTCTTCAGTCTTCACTCTAGCTGGAGCCTTCATTCTTCACTCTGCGCCTGCGTAACCGCCATCTTTGTTGGGTTAATTTGCATATCCATCTGATTGGCTGGTGGGCATAGCGGAGTGACACCAATGTGCATGTTTCTCTTTTATTAGTGTAGATATATTACAGATTGATATTAGGATTAAATAAGATAGCGCACCTTTATTTTTAAATTTTCATACAATCTCTGTGATCTGATCAGTCTGGTAGTTGAGCATTTGATTGACAAAGTTGATTAAAGCATGAAATCATACCTTATACATTGAATATTTTACTTCAAGACATATTAATATACTTTTACTCACCAAGCGTTTGGTGTAAGAACAAAGCCATTTGTTTTGCTTTGTGAAACAGGTTTGCATATAGTTTCACTATTTGAAATTTTACCTGAAAATTTTGCATCAAATATATTTATAATGTATAATCTATAACGTCCAGCTTTGTTTCACATTAAGTGAAGCAACAGACTTCCATATTTTAGAGAGTAAGGTGAGATTCTCACTTTTTTCCTTCAGAATCCACAAAAGCAGCAGATAGAGAAACAGAAACACAAATTTCTTTGACAAAATCAGACAGCATGTTAAATCTCAAACCCTGGGTTTTGTGAAGTGCAATGAAGGTAAAGAGGGATGCATAAGGGTGCCAAGAGAACATGCCTAGGGTTACAGATCAACAACAAAGCCAACATAATACAGTTCTCTGAAGTAGCATATCCTGAGCAGCAAAATCAACAATTCCTGGTTTAGGTGGTGCTTCCAGTCTGGCATAAATGAGAAACAGAATATTGGAGAACCCAAGAATCACACTGAAACACCATTTTTGTAGGAAGCAGTGTGCTGGTGAGGCAGGAGCAAACAAAGATTGTGTGTTGTCTCGTAACTGCTGATCTCAGATGGCCAGAGCAAAGTAAACACTGAAGACTAACTTACACACACAATTTTGGGAGATGAGAATTTTTTCTGGCTTGGAGTGCAGGCCTGGATCCAATCCAATATACTCTAGTGCAGAAACTTGGTTCAGGGGTATGCATTTGAGTCAAAGATGGACAAAGTTTTAAAAGGATCTTTATTGGAAAGCTACACTAAAAGTTGGATGAGACAAAGCCTCACTTTTTTCAATGTTACACTTTTGTATTTTTTAAATTCAAAAGAAATTTAGTACAATAAGAAAAGGAATAGAGGCTTTGCAAAAATACAAATTTATTTGTACATTTGCAAAGAAATGAGTACAGATTTGTTTACTCTTTTTGTCCATTCTTTCATTTGTTTTGACCACAACAGTTTCCTCTGGTGAGTCTCTTTTATCATGCCTTTCACAGAGGCAATCAACTTATAGAAACAACTTTTTGCATTCATATTTCATTGATTACATAATATTTATATTATTTTATTACAATAATATAACTAGCATAAGTGTAGGAACAAATATAGTTGACTCAGTAAGCATAAAGCTCACCTGGTGAAAACTGAAACATGTGGGTGATCTAGAAAGTGACCTGCTAACCACAAGGGTTCACTGGACTATGGGTATCATATGTTTCAGAGAAAGAAAAATCAAAAAATAATGCTTTTTCATAGATTAATTTAGTTGATGTTAGAGGAAATAACAAATATGAATTTATGTCATTATTGTGTTTCTATTTTGCATTATTTTCTCTAGAATGTGTAGTTTTAGACAGAGTGTTTTAAATATTAATTTTATTCAAAAATATTTATTGAGCTCCTACTATGTGCCCCTAGCATAAAAACAAGTCAGAGTAAATATTTTATCACTACTGGTTGAAATTAAACAATATTAATAGGATGTTATTGGTAATTTTATTTGTGATATGCTAAATAACCTATATTGATACAGCAGAGTTAAGTAAAAAGAATTTAGATTTATATTGACTTGCTTCATGAATATCCTCAGAGCTCTTCAGACACCTTTACATTTTTTCTTTATTTTACTTTTGGGTGTGTTTGATAAGAAAAAAATGTTAATTATTGTTAAATGTATTGTTGTTGTTTTATCTTGAAGCTGCCAGAAAAAATGATAATGGACTACTATGAGAAGTATAAGCCTAGAATGAATGAGCTGGAAGCTTTTAATATGGTAAATCTCCTAATTAAACGTATTAAATTGCGTTTGTTGCTAGACTTGAATAGGATCCTATTAAATTTTATTATGGGGCCAACCAATCTATGTTGTTTTTCTCTTATTATAGAAAAACCGTTTGGGATCACTTCCTATTTGAGAACTATATTAGGTGTCAGTAATGTAATAAAGAGAACACATGGTAGATTTCTCTTAAAGTGTATTATAAATGTACAGAAAGAAGTTTCCGAGTTCTTTGAACACATATTGCTCTCAATTCTGTTATTTCACAAGCATTCCTTTTAGTGAATTTCATTCTTAGTGCCCATTTAAAAGCTTTCCATCACATATGTATGATGGCTTTTGGATTCTACCTCAAAGTTACTTAAAGGACATTCTCTTTCTATTATTAAAGAAAACTTTTGATCTCTGCAGTATTCATTTTCTGTACATGTACAATGGGTATTGAAGATTTGGCCATATACAAACTTCTATAGATACATTTTTTTAAACATAATATTAAGTTAGCGGCTAGTCATTTTTTTTTTTCCCTTTTAAGTAACACCATCTAACTTATTCTTTCCTTTAGTTGAAAGTGGTTCTGGCTCCTTGTATAGAGACATTGATTCTTCTCGATCGACTTTGCTACCTGAAAGAGCAGGTAAGTTGTGTTATTTTTAAATGCATAATAAATATATTTATTAAATCCAGTAATTTGGATCCACTTATATGTAGGATAAATTTATTTCACATAAAACTTAAGATTAAAACATAAGATAATCTTTCTCATCATATTTTCAAAGTTTAAATATTCACTCCATCTTTTTAAAACATAAACATGTGCATAACAGATGTTTTCAGCAATGCTACCATAATAAAGCTTACATTCTTTTAATTGTATGGTAATTACTATACAGTAGGCAGTGAGCACAAATTATCATATATGCCATATTGTACAGCTAACAGTAATAAAGACCAGACATATAAGATATCATATATATGTTACATTTTGTAAGAATTTGCCTTTTATTTCCCTTTTGAATTTTGGGGCATATGCACTCTGCAGTCAGAAACTTCTTTCTGATCAATGAAGACTGCGTCTGTTTTTTTGTGGTGTTTTTTCCAATCTTATTTATCTATGCTGAATAACTAAAAATATTGTCCTTTTGGCTATCTTAGGGAAAATGTTTTTTGCAGATTTTACTCAGCTTTGATCAAAATAAAGTTTTGTGAACTGTTTAAATTAAACCCATTTGTGGACTCAGGCTGTGTTTCCACTATATAAACCCTTTATTTTAACAATTCTGTTTTATCATATGGGGAGCTTTGCTTTCTTCTTTTCAACAGGCTACTTGGGACAAATGGATTTTAATAAATGTTTGCTTTTGTTCTAATTTGTATTTATATGGAGAAAGGCAGTTTTTGAGTATTTAGAAAATGATGTGTTTTCCTAAGCTACTAACTCAAAAAGCATTCAAACCTTTGAATCAGTCCTACTTTACTCATCATTTCCCCTTTCAAAACAATTTTTATTGATTTAATTATAATAGGCAATAAAAATGGTATGCACAAAGATTAATAGACTGGTAATGAGATAATAGAAATCATATAAATATTAATTTGTTAATATTTTTAATAATACCTTATAAAATTAATGCATATTTATTTGGAAATTTAAAATGAACAATATAAAAAAGAAAATTAAAAGTAACAATAATGCAACCTTTAAGCACTAACTATTAAATTTTTGGTTTGTTTTTTAGTGCTTCTCTCTAATATATATACATATATATATACATATATATATATGTATATATATTGGAATATATATGTGCACATAGTTTATACTTTATTTAAAATTGAAATCAAATTATAAATGCTATTTATATCTAATTTGTTTCATTTATTTAATTTAAAAATGTTCCATCTCATTAAATTTACTACAGAAGCTGAATAATGTTTCATCATATAATAATTTAAGTAATACCCAATTGTTATTGGCAAGTTTCAGTTTTTCACAATCACAGCAAAGAGTAACCTTGTAGTTCACTCTCTATGTACATCTTTAATTGTTTTCTCAGCGTAAATTCCTGAAAGTAAAATTGTGAATGTTAACTTTATTGAACAAAGAATCATTTTATTTTATATGGTTTGTTTTTACATAGTTTTCAATATTACATTATATAGCCTAACCGATCTCTCGTTTTTACCTTCAATAAATGGTCTTATTTCTAAATCACTTATCAATTTGCAGGAAGATACTGCATGGTCAGCACTTGTGAAGTTGTTTGATCCTGTGAAATCTCCCAGATGTTATGCTGTTATTGCTCTGAAGCAGCAGCAATGATGTCAGTAGAAGCAAGGTATTAGCTGCATCTGTTTGTGGAACCTATTCCTAATTTTTCTTTTCTAAACATTTATGTCATGTCATGTAAATATTTTTTAAGACATTGCCTTCCTTGTATTTGAAATTAACAATAAAATAATAGCTAACAACAGAACACCATAATTCATTTTCTCATTGTCAAAGCATACATTTAATAAAAATAACACATGAAAATATTATAAAAGAATTGATCTACATTCCTGATTTAGCACATCAATAGGACATTGTATTTTGAGCTTTGTTTTCTTTTTTGTTGTTTTTTAATCCTCACCCAAGGACATTTTCATTGAATTTAGAGAGAGAGAGAGAGAGAGAGAGAGAGAGAGAGAGAGAGAGAAACATCGATGTGAGAGAAAAACATCAATTGGTTGCCTCCCATACTCACCCTGACTAGGGATCAAACCCGCAATCTAGGTGTGTGCCCTGGCCTGGGAAGTTACAGGACCTGGCTGAGCCTTGTTTTCTGTTCAATATTTGAGACCCTTGATATTTACTGTATATCACATTTTGCCTTTAATTTATCTTTAAAAAGAGGAAAGGTATAGGTGTAGGTATAGTAAAATTAGTTGTACTGAAGATTATTTGCCTTTTTCCTTCACCTTTTGGAAAGATTTTTCATGTTATCAGAAGGTAAAAATCCACATTTAAAGGAAAGAAATGCCCAGAAACCAGGCCGGACATAGAAAGTGCCTGATATAAATTATATATATATTTGTATTTTAATCTAAGTTACATGATGGAATATTCTATGCCCTTAAAGGAATATGCATCTTATAGTGAGATATTTATTTTTAAGGATTCTTAAGATTGTTTATCTTAAAATAAAGGGATGGGTTGGCACTTAATGAAATTACTTTGTGCTCTGTAAAAATCCACTTAGTAAAGCAAGAGTGAGAGAGAAGGCCAGCACTATGCCCAGTGTGGTACATGTTTTTTTTTTTATTATCAGAAAACTGGAGGTTTCTAAACACTCAGAAGAGGTGAACAGCTAGAGAAAGTCTTCCTTGTCGCTTAGCTAGAGGCTGTATAAAATCCTCCTAACCAGAGAAATAACTGCTTTCTTAAATGTTGGAGTCTATCCACAGATGAGAAGAATGTTTTGCTTTGAATTTCAATATCAGTGGAACTACATAGAGCTTCCCTATGTTTTAAAATATTTTTGCTGAAACCGGTTTGGCTCAGTGGATAGAGCGTCGGCCTGCGGACTGAAAGGTCCCAGGTTCAATTCCGGTCAAAGGCATGTACCTGGATTGCGGGCACATCCCCAGTAGGAGATGTGCAGGAGGCGGCTGATCGATTTTTCTCTCCCATCGATGTTTCTAACTATCTCTCTCCCTTCCTCTCTGTAAAAAATCAATAAAATATATATTTAAAATATTTTTGCAATTTTTAATTAATGTTTTTTAATTTTTATTAATCAGAGGCACATGTATGATTCAGGCATCTAATCAACATGAGATGGCCTATATGATCACACTGAGATAATAACATAGCAAAAAGCAAAGGAATATAATACTTTGGTGGGATTGTAATGTGTGTAGATTTTCATCTCATTAAAACTGCTCTTTGCGAACTCATTTTCAGTTGAGCTAGAGAATGTGGTGCATTGGTGGGAGCATCAGTTCTGACAGTTCCTTTTTGGGTGAGCCAATATCTCAGAACCTCTGTTGTAAAGTGGAGTTTCATATAAAATTTATTTTATGAATGCCTACCATATATCAGAGATTATGGTATGCCCCTGTCCTCAAAGAGACCCCAGTGCCATGAGGAAGGAAGACAATAATATTACTAATTATAGTAGTTAAAGGTTTAGGGGGAGTTAGAGGACAGAATTCTTCAGGGATCCTTCAAATTGATTGACTTAGGGCAGTGGTTCTCAACCTTCCTAATGCCGTGACCCTTTAATACAGTTCCTCATGTTATGGTGACCCACAACCATAAAATTATTTTTGTTGCTATTTCATAACTGTAATTTTGCTACTGTTATGAATCATAATGTAAATATCTGATATGCAGGCTTTATTTTTATTGTTACAAATTGAACATAATTAAAGCATAGTGATTAATCACAAAAACAATATGTAATTATATATGTGTTTTCCGATGGTCTTAGGCGACCCCTATGAAAGGGTCATTCGACCCCCAAAGGGGTTGCGACCCACAAGTTGGCGACCCACAGGTTGAGAATCGCTGACTTAGGGGAAGAACGGTGCAGTAATATTAGTACCATGGTTTAGATTCATGTGAATTAAATTGTTTTGTGGACTTGGGTCAGTCACTTTATTCAGTGTACCTCAGTTTTCTCATCTCTAAAAGGCACATAATAATAGAACCTATATTAAAAAGAGTGTTATGAGGATTAAAAGAATTAAAAATATGTTATTAAACTCCCTTAAAATATTGTTAGATAACTAACTGGTTAATAATGCACAACTATAGTTTATTAGAACTTTCTGCAATAATAGAGGACACTGTCCTGACAATCTTTTTTTAAATATATTTTCATTGAACTCAGAGAGGAAGGGAGAGGGAAAGAGAGATTGAAACATCAGTGATGAGAGAGAATCACTGATCAGCTGCCTCCTGCACGTCCCCTACTGGGAACACAACCCAGGCATGTGCCCTTGACCAGAATCGAACCTGGGACCCTTCAGTCCCCAGGCTGACACTCTATCCACTGTGCTAAACCAGCTAGGGCTGCCGTGACAATTTTGACAGTTTCTGAAGGGGCAAGTCTGAGGAGGGTATTCATAGAACTTGGGAGTCTGGGCTCAAGTGGTTTAGGTGGAGAACAGACTGGGATTTGGAAAAGTTCGTGACACAATAGTTTTATGATTAGTATCTATAGCAAGGCGAGAGTCTGAAGCAAGTCTTGATAAGCAAACTGTTGCTTAGTAAGTGAACTCTTTGCCAAGGTGAGCAGATTGTTTGTCTGAGGTAAATGAATATATGGGAATTTCCTGAAACAAATAATGAAGTTATTTAGTAGTTTACAGCTTTATCTTTTTTGGGCAAAGATTTCCTGTAACAAACAAATGAATCATGTTGACACATCTGGTCTCAGTTCTTAGACCCATTGCTCTCTTCTATTGATGCAGGTACTTACAGTTCTCAATGTAAAAGCACTTAATTTCAGACACTGTGCATAATATAAAAGCAATAGCTGTATATGTTAAATGCCCTAGAGAGATAGAAATGGAAAATTAACCATATTTATAACATTGACACTGTAGGAAAAAAATATGTTCTAAATCAAACAATGTGGACTTGATTGTTGAGTGAAAAGCATTGACTTACATATAATATTACTTGCTGAAATAATCTGTTAAGATTGATGTTTATTCCTAGGGTAATTTCTAACTTAGCATATACTCCACATCTATAAGTATAAATGCAGAGACTTGTACAAAAGGCTTTTCCACTCTACATGCATTCAAAAATGGTTCTTTGATTTGTGGGTTTAGCCACTATACATAATTATTATTATCCATATTTATTATTATTACCCCCTTTCAACATACATAGTTATTCTAGAGTCTTTGTCATGAGGTATGAAGTTCAATCCTTTCTTATATGGCTATGAGCTAAATTGATTATTTTTTGTTTTGTTTTGTTTTTCCCCTAGGTTTCTGCTGCTCTTCTAGATTCTTTAAAGTTTTTTTTTTTCAAAACACATCTAAATATTTTGTTTAAATCTCAACTTTACTTCATTATTCTAAAGTCATTTAAAAACACCGTTACCATTAATTCTTTATAAATGTATATAATCCAGAGACATACTGTAAAAATATGTGTAGTTGGACAAGCTTCTTATCTTTACTATTGATGATCCTGACTTAATTAATATCCAGGAGGTCTACAATTGATAGGAATTATCAAGAAACACAGATGAGGCTCCTGAAATATGTCTGTGTACTCCACAGAAGGAATTTGTAACCATGGTGGATTGCATCTCCCAACAATTATCAGGCACATTTCTAAACCCAGCACCCAACACCATACCTACAGCTTAAAATGTTCATGGTGAGTATTTCTTAATGAATGTATCAGTTCTACCTTAAATCACTCACCAAAATGTCCTTTAGAATAGTATGTGATACATTTCTATCTTTATATACTATAAAGCATTGATTTTTGCTTAGGTACTATCCTAAGCACTTTACTTGTGTTAACTCATTTAATACCCAGAACAACTCATGAAGTAGGTATATTATTTCCATTGTCCCATTGTATAGATTAGCAAATTGGCAGAAGTAAACATTAATCTTCCCTCATTCTTGGCCTCACATTATTTCTACAAACAATTTTGCAAATACAGTGTCTGGCACACTAGAAAAAAAAAATGACCTGGCATTTAGTGAAGCTGAAAAACAAGTCCCTGTCATAGATAAGCATGGTACTCAGAACCTCCTACAACAACATCAGAATTACAATTAGATTACAAAACAACCATCATTCAGGACACCTGAAATCTAGCTGAACATAAGTCCTATAAATAAGGGTATTAAGAAGAAGCCACATCCAGACTGTTAGTAGGGGAGGAGATGCAGAACAGCTGGTCCCACACCCACAAGTGGCAGTTAAAAATTGAGAGGGATAGCCCCTACCAGGTAGCTTGGTTGGAGCATCATCCCATACACCAAAAAAAAAAAAAAAAAAGAGGTTGCAAGTTAAATTCCCAGTCAGGAGGCATTGGGAGGCAACCAATTGATGTTTCAGTCTCACATCAATGTTTCTCTTTCTCTCCCCCTTCTTCTCTCTCTGAAATCAATAAAAAACATATCCTCTTGTGAGACTAAAAATAAAATTGCAGCGGTCCCCCCCTAAGGAGTGAGTGACTGGTCCTGGCCCTACATCAGAACCCCCACCCCAGGGCTCCAGTGCCAGGAAGAGAAGTCATCATAACTCCAGGCTGTAAGAATCAGCATAAATTGTGTCTGAGTGAGATGATGGACTCCTAGAGTCCCAGACATTCCTCTTGAAGGACCAGCACATGGATTTACTCAGACGAAGTTGCTCTGAGCTCCAGTGCTGTGGCAGCAGCTCCAAAGGCACCAGGTACAGATGAGGAGGAACTGAATTGTCTGGCTTCAGGATGAGGGCTTGAGTGGTATCTTTATCTCAAGACAGGAGTGCTGGCAGAGGTCATTATTTCCTTGCTGAGCCCCCTCCCCCCAACACAGGGAGTCTGCGTCAATCTGGTTCACATTATTTGCACCGCCCTATTGATTCCTTGAGACCCTACCCCACCCAACTGTGTGCCCACCCATGCCACGTCCAGTGGCTTTTCCATATAAATGGCTCTCTTGTCTCATGTTGCAGACTTTTCCTAAAATCTTTCAAAAAAAGCAGCATCTGGCATCTGTGAAACCCCTACCTGGCACTAGTGGCAGCCAGCCTCAGTTTGCAGGTTGGCCTCTCCTGGGTATCTCCAAGCCCAGCACAAATAGTAGCCTTCTGAAGGTTGCTCAGTAGCTCATTCTGGGTGGCCCCAGGCATGGCACAGGTAATAGCTGACCTTGCGCCTCCCAGAAGGCCTCAGAGCCATTGCACTCAGTGGACAGCTTCAGACCACACCAGATTACAATCTTACTACCTCCATGAGTGACACACTCAAGGGACAAACTCAAGGGGCACCAAAACCCCACTGAATCAAGTCCTATTCCATGGGGTCAGCCCCTGCACAGCTACTCTGCTGTATTGACGGATGGTCCTTACAACTGATTCGCCTAGGGATCAATTTTTCCCAGTGACATGCCAACAGCAATCAAGACTCAGCTACAACAGAACAGTGCACACAGCCCACATGGGGTGCACCTGGAGCACCCAGCTCAGGTGACCAGGGAGGCTGCACCACTGGGCCTTACAAGACACTACATAAGACCACTCTATCATGTCTGGGAGACATAGTAGCTCTCTACCTAATACATAGAAACAAACACGGGGAAGCAGCCAAAATGAGGAAACAAAGAAACAGGTACCAAATGAAAGAACAGAAGAAATCTCTAGAAAAAGAACTAAATGAAATGGAGGCAAGCAAACTACCAGATACAGAGTTAAAACAAAGATTTTAAGGATGCTTAGTATGAACAGCATTAAAAAAGACATCCTATCTAATAAAAGAGAAGCATGGTAATTAGCTGAACCTCCGCTACCCTTCCCATTGGCTAATCAGGGCAATATGCAAATTAACTGCCAGCCAAGATGGCGGCCGGCAGCCAGACAGCTTGAAGTGAACATGAGGCTTGCTTGCTTCAGTGATGGAGGACTCCAACGTTCCCTGCCTGCCGCTGTCGGCCTCTGAGCTTGCAGTTTGAAACATTGTCACAAATATATCAGCTAAACAAAAGCCCAGAAACCTGCTTTCGGCCAGCAGGACCAAAACATTGTTTTAATTATAGAACAAACGCAGATCCCTGCTTTCAGCCAGCCGGGGTCTCAGAGCTGGAGTTGAAACAGTGTTTCGATTATAGAACCCAAACAAACCAGATACCTGCTTTCAGCAGCAGAGGCCTAAGAGCTAGAGCCAAGCCTCAGAGCTAAAGCTGGCCCAGAATAAAAAAAGAAAAAGAAAAAAAGGAGCGGTTGGGAGCTTCAGTCACCCGCCAGCCTGAAAACAGCCCTCAGCCCCTCACCCAGACTGGCCAGGCACCGCAGTGGGGCCCCCACCCTGAAGGGTGTGTGGACCAGCTGCAAACAGTCATCATCCCGTCATCCAGGCTGGCCAGGCACCCCAGTGGGGACCCCCACCCTGATCCAGGACACCCTTCAGGGCAAACCAGCCGGCCCCCACCTGTGCACCAGGCCTCTATCCTATATAGTAAAAGGGTAATATGCCTCCCAGCACTGGGATCAGTGGAGCCGTGAGGCCTCCCGGCACCAGGATCAGCGTGACAGGGGGCAGTGACCAAACCCCCTGATCGGCCCTGCTCTGTGTGTGACAGGGTGTGGCGCCCAAACTCCACCCCCCCACGGGCCCTGCTCTGTGTGTAACGGGGTAGAGCCATAACCTCCCCATCGGCCCTGCCCTGAGTGTGAAAGTGGCAGCGCCCCAACCCCCTGATCGGCCCTGCTCTGTGGGTGATAGAGGGCGGCGCCCCAACCACCCCCCTCGGGCCCTGCTCTGTGTGTGATGGGGTAGAGCCATAACCTCCCCGTCGGCCCTGCCCTGAGTGTGACAGGGGGCGGTGCCCTAACTCCCCTATCAGCCCTACTCTGGGGGGAGCTCCTCAACCCCTGATTGGCCCTGCTCTGTGTGTGACAGGGGGTGGCGCCGCAACCTCCCCATCGACCCTGCCTTGAGTGTGACAGGGGGCGGTGCCCCAACCACCCAATCGGCCCTACCCTGAGCGTGACTGAGGGTGGCATCGTAACCTCCCGATCTGCCCTGCTCTGTGCATGACGGGGCGGCGCCCCAACTCCCCAATCGGCCCTGCTCTGAGCCTGACCAGGGGCTGCACCTAGGGATTGGGCCTGTCCTCTGCCACCCGGGAACAGGCCTAAGCCAGCAGGTCGTTATCTCCCGAGGGGTCCCAGACTGCAAGAGGGTACAGGCCGGGCTGAGGGACCTCCTCTCCCCCCCCCCCCCCGAGTGCACAAATTTTTGTGCACCGGGCCTCTAGTCTATCTATAATAATAAAAGCGTAATATTCTAATTAGTCCTGATAGCCAAACAGCAGAACGACCATCCGGACGACCTTCTGGATGAAGCTGGGCACTGCAGCTGTGAGGGCTGAGCCCCTTGCACAAATTTTGTGCATTGGGCCTCTATCCTATATAATAAAAGGGTAATATGCAAACTGACCCTAACAGCAGAATGACTGGGAATGACTGGTCACTATGACACACACTGACCACCAGGGGGCATACGCTCAATGCAGGAGCTGCCCTCTGGCGGTCAGTGCGCTCCCACATGGGGAAGCTCTGCTCAGCCACAAGCCAGGCTGATGCCTGCCAGTACAGCGGTGGTGGTGGGAGCCTCTCCCACCTCCTCAGCAGCACTAAGGATGTCAGACTGCAGCTTAGGCCTGCTCCCCACTGGCAAGTGGACATCCCCTGAGGGCTGCTGGGCTGCCAGAGGGATGTTTGACTACCAGCTTGGGCCTGATCCCCCAGGGAGTGGGCCTAAGCCAGCAGGTAGACATCCTCCAAGGGGTCCCAGACTGCAAGAGGGAATAGGCCAGATTGAGGGACCCTCCTCCAAGTGCACAAATTTTTGTGCACTGGGCCTCTAGTATATATATAAAAGTCTAAACCACCAGAATGACTGGTTGCTATGACACGCACTGACCACCAGGGGGCAGATGCTCAACATAGGAGCTGCCCCCTGGTGGTCAGTGCGCTCCCACAACCAACCTCCCCCTGCCGGCCAACCTCCCGCAGTCCCTCCCCCCAGTCAGCAGGCCATGATCACCTGATTGGGGCTGGACCCAGGGCTGGGACGGGGAAATGGGGGTGGGTGATGGTGGATGTGACTCCTTTCCTAGAGGGGACAAGGGTGGCCAACCTTCCGTGCCCTGTCCCTCCCCCTGGCTGGCAGACCCCAATCAGCCCACTGCCCGCCTGCCACAGTGGCAGCATGGCAGTGAGAGAAGGAGGAAAGGGGTAGGCGGGGAACCACACATTGACGGAGCACTCATGATGGCAACGTCAGCATCCAGTACCCGTTTCTTCCGCACCCTGCCCAGCGACCATCACCTCCTCTCTGGCCTGACCCTGATCAGCCCTAATTGCCAGCCAGGCCTAGGGACCGCACCCATGCACAAATTTTGTGCACTGGGCCTCTGGTGGAACCATAAAAAGAACCAGTCAGAAATGAAGGATACACTAACTAAAATGAAGAATAAATTATAGCAAATCATTAGAGTAAATAACACCAAGAATGAAATCAGCAATTTGGAATATAAGGAAGCAGAAAACACCTGATCATAATGACAAAAGGAAAAAAGAATCCAAAAAAATGAGGATAGTGTAAGGAGCCTCTGGGCCAATTAGAAGTATTCCAATGTTTGAACTATGGGGGTGCCAGAAGGAGAAGAGAGCAAGGAATTGAAAACCTATTTGAAAAAATAATGATGGAAAACTTCCCTACCTGGTGGAGGAAATAAATATACAAATCCAGGAAGCAAATAAGACAAACCCAAAGAGGCCCACACCAAGACACATCATAATTAAAATGCCAAAGGTTAAAGACAAAGACTGTCAGCTGATTTCTCAACAGAAACATTTCAGACCAGAAGGCATTGGCACAAAATATTCAAAGTTATGAAAAACAAAGACCTCTAAATAAGGCTACTTTACCCAGCAAGATTATCATTTATAATTGAAAGGGAAGTAAAGAGCTTCCCAGACAAGAAAATGCTAAAGGAGTTTGTTTGCACCAAACTAGTATTACAAGAAATGTTAAGGGGAGGAAGGAACCAAGATGGTGGCATAGGTACATACCTGTATTTGCACAACCACATCAAAACTACAACTAAAAGACAAAACAGATATCATCCAGAACCACGGGAAGGCTGACTGAGTGGAAGTTCTATAACAAGAAGGAAAGAGAAAAGCGTATTTGAGACTGGTAGAAGGTGCAGAAGTGTGGAGGTACAGAGGCACGTGCAAAACGGGCTGGCAAATGAGGACACAGTTGTCTTTTTCAATCTGGAGGG